AATTTTGAAGCAATATTTAAAAATATTTCTATAATATAAGAAAATAATTGTAAATTATTTTTACAATTGTATAGCAGTATGTTATCTAGAAAAAATATGCTTCTATATTTCATGTTTGAATAAGAAATATACAAGCTATTTTGCTTGTATTCTTTGATAGTGTTGATATAATTGAATTGAATGTGAAGATTATATTTCTAAATTTTGTGTAATTCAATATTGTAAAATTGAAAAAAAAACTCTCCGCACAGTGCAAAGAGAATTGAACCAAGTGCGTAGTAAAAATAAAAAAATTAAAAAAAAAGTGCGTAGAGGAAAAACTCTCCGCAAAGTGCTGAGAGAGTTGAATCATGTACAAAGAGTTGGCAAACTCTTCGCATAGTGTAGAGTAAAAAAAAACCTCTCTACACAGTGCTGAAAGATGACAAACCAACTCTCCGCATAATATGGAGAGTAAAAAAAACTCTCTGCACTGTGCGGAGAGAGTTAATCTCTTCGCACATTGCGGAGAGTTGGTCCGCACCATGACAAAACTCTCCATACAGTACGGGGAGAAAAAAAACTCTCTCCACAGTGCGAGAGAGTTGAACCATGTGTGGAGTAAAAAAAGTGTGGAGAGAAAAAAACATCTCTACACAGTGCGGATAGAGTTGAACCATGTGTGGAGTAAAAAAAGTGCAGAGAGAAAAAAATCTCCATACAGTGCGGATAGAGTTGAACCATGTGCAGAGAGTTAGCAAACTCTTCATACAGTGCGGAGTAAAAAAAAATCTCCGCACAGTACAGAGAGAAAAAAACTTTTCGCATAGTGTAGAGAGTTGTTTTCAAATCCCTAATTACAAGTCAAATTTTAAGATTGTAAATTTTTCGTATATGCAACGAAACAAAGTCAAAAAATATGGCTCAAAATCAATTATGTCTTCTTTAAATTCCAGTCATGGCTCAATTTCTGAGCATGCAAATCATATTTACGATATTGGAAATGAGTTTTCTCGTGATTCATACAATGAAACAATATGTGAGTTGTGCAAAAAAATGGATATTGATAGTACCATAACATTCCTTTCACAAATGGAGGCTCTAGTGTACCCCTCAAATTTAATATTTTATACTTGCTTGATAACATCTCTTGGACATTAGAAGCGGATATAATTTCAATGACATTATACTTTTAGGTTGTAGGCCAGAAATTAAAATGTTCAACGCATTACTCAAAAGTTGTTTGAGAAAATGCCTCTTGAAACTTGCAGATAAAGTCTCGAGAGTTTTTGTTTTTCTCTTCACATTATGCAGAGAAATAGTTTGTCATCTCTCCGCACTTTTCGGAGTCTTTTTTTTGCTCATGTGCGAATTTTTTTTTTTTGGTCTCATGGAGTTTATATATACTAAAATCATTATTATTTTCTTAATATTATTGGCATGATACGTGTGTGGAAGAATATTTGTCAATTACCATAAACTAGGGCTGCAAGCAAAAATCGCAAAATCGAATTGAAACCGCATTTTAGAAACTGTCGGTTTAGTGCCACGTGGATCCGGTCAACGAAATGATTTTGACCCAAACCAAACCGGTCAAAATGGTTTGGTTTAGGTTTGAGAATTTTAATTACAGTTTAAAATCAAACTGGATCGGTGAAAAAATATATAAAAATAAAAAAAATGAAAAAATGAATTTTTTTGAAAATTCATCCAAATATGTAAAATTCAATAGTTTTGACATTTGTGGGTATTTTGGTCAATTCCTAATTTTCTAATACAGATATATTATTATTATTGTTGTTGTTGTTGTTGTTATCCAATAATCTTAATATATATTTAATAATTTCAAGACTAACATAATCTATCAAAAACTTTTTTTCTCTTCAAAATTTAGATGAACTCCAGTCTACACCCAACACAGTTTTGAACCATCGGCACCACACACTTCTTTTTCAGATTTTTCACGCATCTTCAAAGTTGAATTGAAGTCCATTACACCAAATCGAAGACAAAGAGATCCTAGACCTTCAATGATAATATTTGCCACAAATAAAGTTTCAGATCAATAATTTTTTGAAGCAAACTAAGATAAGAATGTGAACGTTAACTTGTGTAATTGTTATGTTTAGATATTATAAATAATTGCTTTATTATTGTGGTTGGTTATTCTCTTTATTTAATCAGTATCCTTTTTTTTAAATATGATGATTACGAGATATTATTGGACATTATTATATTTTTTGGATCTTATATCTAGTTTAGTAGACTTATATTGTAACGTTATTGTATTGTCATTAGCCTAAAAAAGGTTAACAAAAATGAAAAAAAAAACTATGTTTTAGTTTATTGTGATTTCACTTTGATTTAATTGATATTTAAATTTATAGTAGATATATTTAGCCTTTGTTTGAGCCATATTTTCCATATCATTATAATGAAAAAATTGACTATTGGAGAGGAGGCTGGGTCACACATATGAAATAGCAGGTCAACGAAGGTGGCTGGACTTGTGGAATAACGGTCCAAATTTTCATTTTTTTGTCCCAAAAATTTGGTTCAAACAGGGGCTTAGTTTATTTTAGATTTATTACTAGTAAGATATAAATATATATTAAATTTAATGAATTAATGACATAAAAGTAGACAAGCAAAAAAATATATGGCGAAACCAGCGGTTTAAAACCGGACCAAACCGTTAGGTTTAGGTTTGAGTTTTTTTCAAACCGTTCAAAATGGATTGGTTTAGGTTTGAGTTTCTCTCAAACCGTTTTAGTTTGAAAATCTATCAAAAACCGGTAAAATCGAACCGCTTACACCCCTACCATAAACAAAAATTTTCACAAAATGCAAAAAACAAAAATACATATTAAATATTCTTATTACACTAATAAAATTAAAATATATTTTTTTTACAAATAATATAAAAAAATCATTTTTATCTTCAACAAAAAAACACATTTAAAAATTAGAAATATCATAACCACCTTTTTTTTTAATTCTCGAAAATACAATTATAAAAAATGAAACAATATTGAATTACAACATTTAATACTTAAAAAATTCAATAGTAAATAAATTTAATACATTTATAACAAATTATAAATCCATATATGCAGTTTACCGTATTTGCAGGTAGTTTACCGTATATACAGCTTACCGTATATGCTGCCTACCGTATTTGCAAACAACTTACCATATTTGCATCTTACCGTATTTGTAGCTTACCGTATATGCTGCTTACCGTATTTGTAGTTTACTGTATTTTTATATATAAATTTTTGTACTTACAAATACCGAGAATGCAGAACACCGTATATTCACTTACCAAACCGAATTTCAAATAAATTTTCAGATTTTTATTTTTTCAATATAAGCATAAAATAAATATTAAATATATATGAAGCACAAAATATAAATGTATATTAATATGGTGCTTACTTTTCAATTTTTCAATATTGAATTATACAAAATTTAGAAATATTTACAAAAATTTACAAATTGTTGCACTTACAAATACCGAGAATGCAGAACACCATACATTCATTTACCAAACCGAATTTCAAATAAATTTTCAGATTTTTATTTTTTCAACATAAGTATAAAATAAATATTAAATATATATGAAGCACAAAATATAAATGCATATTAATATGGTGCTCAACCTTCAATTTTTCAATATTGAATTATACAAAATTTAGAAATATAATCTTCACATTCAACTCAATTATATCAACACTATCAAAAAATACAAGCAAAATAATTTGTATAATATTGTATATTTCTTATTCAAGTATGAAATAAACAAGTATATTTTTTCTAGATGACACAATACTGTTATGCAATTGTAAAAATAATTTACAATTATTTTTTTATATTATGGAAATATTTCTAGATATTGCTTTAAAATTTTTTCAAAAAAGTAAAATTCATACACTAATAAAAATATGAAACACACGTGACAGTCATTGTGCGGAGATTTTTTTTTAGCTTCGCGCTGTACGGCAACTCTCCGTACTATGTGAATAGATTATTTTTTGATTTTTACTCAGCACTGTACGGAGAGTCCGTATAGATTATGCGGACTGTTTGTACAGAATGTCATTTCTACGCACTGTGCGGAGAGTTTTGCCATGATGTTTGCCATCTCTTCGCACTGTGCAGAGAAATTTTTTTTTTACTTCGCACTGTACGGAGAATTCGCCATCTCTCCGCACATGGTTTGCCATCTCTCCATACTATGCGGAGAGTTTTTTCTTCATTTTTTACTCCGTACATGGTTTGCCATCTCTCCACATTGTGCGAAGAGTTTATTTTTTTTTTAAAACTCATCTGCGAAGAGTTTTTTTATTACTCATGGCAGTTTATATTTATTAAAATTATTGTTATTTTTTAATGCTAGTGGGATGATGTGTGGAAGAATATTTGTTTGACATAATTATTTTTTTAATGCTAGTAACAGATGTGTGGAAGAACATTTGTTTGACATAAACAAAATGAAAAATAAAAAATGACATCATGCATAGTAAAATTGAATTAATTTACTCTTGCATCAATAGTAGACCTTCCTTCCCCCTTTTTATTAGAAGTTAGATTTATTTATTTTTGGATTACACAATGTAAATTGTATGGTCAAAATGAACCAATTTCTTATTGCGATCTTATTTCATTTTATTTTTTCTTTATTTTAGAAATGGGTTTTAACAACGTTAATGTAATCTTATTCCATTATGTAGAAATATGATCTTCCACTAATGTTATATTCTTTTAAAAAATATATATTTTAATTTTTGAACTCAAGGTACAAAAAGTTTAACTCCGTCGTTGTTACCCCACCTCCACCCTCAAATGTGAGAGTAGCTGCTCTAGCAGAACTGGTAGAGTAGCATGGTTGCATGAGCATACACGCTAATGTACGCACAACAACCACTATATTGTAAAAGGACTTATATTCTCGAATATGTAAGTTAAGGACCTATACGCAGACATGTAAAGCTTGAGGACTCTAGGACTGATTTCCTTTGATTTCCCGTTTGTCCCGAATTTTTTAATTCCTTCTTTCCCATTTCAGTTTGCACTGTAGGCCAGGACTTCTTCCACTCTAGAAGATCCACCATGGATGCCGGGAGTTCGTCGGCTTCCCGTCAACCGACGTCGAAGAGGAAGCAGCGCAAACCTACCACCGCCGACGCTCTCGGTCACGACGTTCTCTGTATGATATTTTCATTGCTCGACCTCGTCCACCTCATTCGCTGTTCCGCCGTCTGCAAATCATGGTACTTCCTCTAACTTGGAGCACGATCCGCTCATATATATATATATATATATATATATATATACATGCTTCCACTTAATTTTCAACAGATTGAGAGCACAAATAGCAATTACAGAGATTTTTTTGTTTCTGTTTTAATTAAAACACCATTTTAAGCGTAGATAGAATTTTTAAGCCTCAAGTTCGGCAGTTGCCCTATCACGTCTATTAATTGAAACTGAACTACGTAGAATATATCATTCTGATGTTTGATAATTCTTTGAAGTTAACTTTTTTCAGTCATTTGGGGTGTATATTTTGCTTACTTAGCTGGGGTTTTGCAGAATCGTTGAATAATGATGACAAGGGAAGTTAAATGCTTGCGGAGAGATCTTTTTTCCAAGGATAATTGAATTTTGAGTAAATTCTTCAGTATAAATTCTGTTTTTCAGTACTCTTGGAATTGAAATCCGTCAAAATCTAGTCCTAATTGTGGGGGTTTGGGGGTGGGGTGGGGTAACATATCTAATTCAATTGCAAGTTTTTTGACTCATGATACCACATGCTTTGTTGGTGTAATCTTGGGAAAAAATGTTATTTAGTTGATTACACGAATTCTAATAGTGATATATATATATATATATATATATGTGTGTGTGTGCACGCGCAATATTGGGTGAAAAAACCAGTAATTGTATACAGTTTTTTATTTTTATTTTTTAAACTCTAATTACGAGAAAAGCAAACACTATTCAGCAACATATATCAAGATGATGGAAGCATTAATATTTGCTAACCTATTTATTTCATTACTGAAAGTCAAAAAGCAGAAGTATTTGATACAAAAAGTAAATCAATAATGCTAAGTGTACATTCTTTGATTTACATTCTTGTTGACATTGCCTTTATGTTCAAAAAATTGCGGGCAGGAAAACTATTTTTTCTTATTTTCTTTTAAACTATCCAATGGTACGTTGCCATTTGGCACAATGTAAAATGATGTAAAAGATGACGTACATGTAGCATGATTGAAAGTAAATTGATGTGTGATTGCATTTGAAAGTTTGCATATGTAGTGGAATATCCAATTATTCTCTGAATTATAACTTTTATCCTCCATGAGAAGGAGAAAGAAAAGGATTTACCGTAACTGAAAGAGTTGTTAAGTAATTGCGATTTCATGTTTTTATTTCATTATTTTCATTTCTATGCTTCATTAAATGCATTACTGGTGATGAGTAATGAAATGATTACTTTGTTTCTTTTGATCCCTTAAAGGAGCATAGTGATTCATAAATTGAAGTTACTGCAAATACAATATCAGAAGCAACACCAGATAGATGCTGCTTCCTTCTCTAATGCATCTGCTTATTCAGAAAGATTACTGAATGTCCATTTGGAGCAGCTGGCTATGGAACAACAGAAATTTTCTCTGCAAGAAGGTCCTGCAGATATTTTCCAGTGGAAAGGTCATTTGACAAGGTAAATTTTTGCCCTGGTTTTTGTTTTCTAATGTTTATCTGATTATTTTCCTTTTAGTAAAGATTTGTCAGATACTTCATTTGCAATTTTTATTTCAGATCTGGTTAATTATTTTTTCTACTAGTTATGTCTGTCTAATTTATTTCTTTCTTTTCTCATTTTTTTTAGTTACATTAGTGTGGATAAAAATGTGGATATATCGTGGCTATTTTTGATTGAAAAAGCTCCCTGCACAGGGGCTGTCATGCGGGGTCTGTGTGCACTTGTACAGCCCTGTGTGATGCAGCACCAATAAGATGATTAATAGAAAAAGACGACAGATTCGGGATTTAAGGGGGCGGGGGAAGAAGAAGAATTTAACAGAAGAAGGAGAGGGATATGTCATAAGCCACCAAAATAATTATTCATTCATCAACTAATGAAATTACATGGAAAAATAAGTTTAAATAGTAAACCAAACCCTAATTAGAATGGGCTTGGGCGAATACAAGCTCAATAAAAAATCCACAACAAAATAAAGTCTACCAAAATGAAATAAGGTTCGACTAGAAATAAATAAATAAACTAGATGTACTCATCAATTCTACCGGGATGGGAGAAAAACTCGACCCTGTCGAGTTAATAGATCATAGGAGGCTGCAGTCAATTTGATACCCAAAATGCTTCAGGGTATGCCACGGGGGGTGATCTTTTCGACGAACCAAGTATCGAAATTCCATGATTGATAATGAAAGCTACGACTTATTCCCCAGAATATGATCTGACAAAGATAAACTCGGCAAAGGAAGATTCGACGGACTCCTATAAAGTTCCAACGAATTTGGATCACGCTGTTGAAGTCTCTTTCCGGGGGCCCATGTACCATCAGAATCAAGTTGATCCACTCAATGAACAAGAAAGCACTGAACCTCTTTATCATTGGTCAACACAATCTGATAATCTAAAATAACATCAATTTTATCTTTGTGTGTTGTGATAAGTGGTATTGGAGCAGACATAGCAAAAGGTTCAGTGTAGGGATTCCCATGTGGAGGTAGAAAATTATCACCAGATGGATTAAAATAGCCTTGGTAAGCAAAAAGTCCTTAACAGTTAAAATAGAATGGTGATCAAAATGTGATAAAAGATCAATGACACATGTATTTGAACCAACATGCTTTGAAATTTCACAAGGACTAGCACTACAGACTTGTAATATAACAACATCTCCAATATTAAATTCAAAATTTCTCTTATGCAAATCAGCTTGAAGTTTATATAATGCATTACTTGCTTCAAATTGTTTATTGATCTCAATATACAAATCATGAAGATGACGTACAAATGCCTCAGCTGACGCAGACATACTAGTATGTGGGGACATTGGAATAAGGTCTAAAGGTTTCCTAGACTTATAACCATGAATAACTTAGATGGAACTTGTACCGATAAACCGATGCACAAAATTATTATATGCAATTTGAATTGTTGGGAGGATCAAATCCCGATTCTCAAGATTTTCCTCGAAAAGGACATGATTACACAAATCATCCGTACCTTTGGGTTGGAAAAGAGTATGACACACAACATACTAAGGGGTATCGAGAACAAGGGGTACAACCCTTATAGATTCATAGAAAAAGTCCTGATACTACATAAGGAAGTGTCCTCAATATCATTCAAGTCATCACATTCTTCAAATTTAGGTTCATAGATTTGATCTTTTAATGACTCTTCTATTACATCCTTTCGTTCTTCTATGACTAATGCTCGGTTAGGACATTTGGAAGAGATATGACCAAAGTCCTTTTGGCTGATGCATAGCAGTTGAGAAGAAGTCTCTGGAGTTTCAAAAATTTTACTCTTATTTTCCAAGATTTGAGGAACATTAGATGGGAGAGGTCCTAGAAGTGACTTAACAGGAGGAGGTGGAGCCAATGAGGCGGAAGAATGGTTGTCAATACGCCTTCTATAAGGAGAAGAGGGCCTTGGACTATCACAACCTTTACACTTATTTTTCCAAATGGGAGGAACACTAGATGGGAAAGGCTCTATGACAGACTCACGTTGAGGTGGCGCTAATGACATGGGAGAACGATGGTGGTCGCGCTTTTCATAGGGAGTACTAATAAGTAACTCGTAGTCCCGAGTTGAAGAGTAAGCTTGATCAAGAGTAGTGATGCCTCGAAAGAAAAGTTCACGCCTAAGTTCATCTCTTAGACCTTGTATAAACCTACTTAAAGTCAGGGCCTCATCATCAACGATATGATATGTCACTCGAAATTCTTCAAATTGAGCAATGTACTCAGTCACTAGCCGATTCCTTTGTGTAAGGGTGTTCAATTGGGTAAAAATTTTATGATCTAAACAACCATCAAAAGTAGGAGTATCTAAGTCAATGTCTCTAAAGAAACGCTCCTTACGACGAGGAAGAGAATGAGTACCATGATGACCATGACCTTGTTTTCGCTCACGAACCTGATCCCTATTCCTACGATCATGTCGAAAATATTTTTGATCACTTTGTCCACGATGATATTGTCTATTATGAGACGCTTCAGAATTAGTGTCAGTCAAACGAGGGGTTTGCTTAAAATTGCTCAACTTAGCAGCTAGGTCCGTTCTTTCTCTCCTCACGAGTAGTAGTTATATCTGATTGGACAGTCGATAGGCTAGTGGCAAGTTGCACTAATTGTCTAGTGAGTGCATCAAATGGGAATGGATCCATGGTTTATGTATTGGAAATAGAGACGACAAGACGACCACTACGCAACTACATACAATTTAATACCAGCTAAATGACATGCAATGATGAGATCAATGAACAATATATGTAAGAAATGAAAAATAACAAACTAAGCTTTTTTTTCAGGGTTAAATAAATTCAAATATGGCAAGCTAATACTGCTGATCTAGGTAAAATAACAAAGCACGGATCAAATAATAGACAAAACCTAATTATGTAATATAAGTGGGGTAAAATAGGGTTTTGACAAAATCAACGGATTCAGTCACGTGACTTTAGGTATATTGTTAGAATAACATCATCACAAAAATTTAATTAATGCAATTTTAAATGAAGCAATATTGTAAACCAATGACAAATATAAATTAAGCACTCCCTGTTGTTTAGTTGTAGCGGTGGTGCCCATGGAAGCTTAAACCTGATGGCGATGTACTTCAGGACCCAAAGAATCAGAACTGTGCCCAATTATGATTTCCTAGTTGGCACGTCTCCAGTAGAAAATTATAATGGAATACTCCTAAGCAGTCGAGTCGCTGAATGGAACACTAATCCTCAAGAGTTTTAACAAGCTGCCCTAATGCAAATAATAGGCCAAATCCAATTCAACAAATGTCCCTGGCATTCTGAACTCAGAAGAAGTCCACCGACGTGAAAAATAAAGTGAAAATTGAACTCCGGGTGGTGGGTGACAACTGGCGTGGCAGTGGATTGCGGCGATTGGCAGTGAGGGTGGTCGCGGAAAGTGTGGTGACTGTGGGATACTAATGGGGAAGGAGGAGTTTAGGGCTTGGGTTGATTGGGTATTGTAGATGTGGGCTGGGTTAAGTGTTGTATATAATGGGCTAGGGTTATGGGCCGAGCGAATTTGGGACCGCTTATGGGTTGGATGGTGTTGGTCGGTTGTAATAATATGTGATAAGTGGGTTGGATTTGGTGTTTATTGGGCTAAAAAGCGAGTGGATTGACCAAATAGACGATGAGAGATGGGCTGTGTGTTAGTGAACTTTGGGAGTAATTTGGGCCACAAACTTATGGCCCAAGTGTTTTAAAAAAAAAAAAAAAAAAAATGAATGGACTAGGTTATAGAGATAGAATATATGGGTTGAAGGGCTAAGTGGGTTTGAATGTTAGGGTTTGGGATTTGTGGAACAACACCACAATTTTTTTTTATTTATGAGCAGCAACAGCAGCAAACAAAAAATGAGAATTTTTTTTTTTTTTTGGCGCAAACAGTACCCGTGAACAGTAACTTTTTTTTTATTTAACAAATTGACCAAAATACTAAACTGAAATTCTCAGTGAACAGTACACACGATGAACAGTAACTCTATTTTTTTTTCAACTAAGACTGAAAATTGAAGAAGAAAAAAATTGATGCCTTTATCAAAAATTTTTTTAGTTCGTGCTGTTCCAACAGATTTTGGGAAGGAAATATGAATAAATTTTGGATTAAAGAAAAGAAATTACCCAAGGTTCGGCTCTGATACTAAATTTGATGCAGCACCAATAAGATGATTAATAGAAAAAGACGGCAGATTCAAAAAGAATAGGGATTTAAGGGGGGAAAGAAGAAGAATTTAATAGAAAAAGGCAGAAGAAGGAGGGGGATGCGCCATAGGCCACCAAAATAATTATTCATTCATCAACTAATGAAATTACATGGAAAAGTAAGTTTAAATAGTAAACCAAATCCTAATTGGAATGGGCATGGGCCAATACACACCCAATAAAAAATCCATAACAAAATAAAGTCTACCAAAATGAAATAAGGTCCAAAATGAAATAAAGTTCGACTAGAAATAAATAAATAAACTGGATGTCCTCATCACTGTGCAGGTAGCACAGCTCATTTTTGATTCCATCTTTACTGCATTCTTCATGTTTGTACTAGGAGTCAATGTAAAACAGGGGAGGATTGTTTGTTCTTCGAATATTGTACTGCTTAAAGTTGACAAAGCTGTAATTGTAGTTCTAAGAGTTGCACAAGTCAATGGGTTCCTAAATAGATTATTAAGTAGGAAACTGATAAGGAAATACAGTAGATTTAGTTGATTTCTCTGATTCAGATAAATATGTTACATTGTAAATTGTTTTCTTAAAGGGGGGTTTTTGTGAATGCACCTATTAAGTGTTGGGTAATTAACATATTTTTGTTTGCTTAGAATTGGAGTGTCAAATTGGAGTGTCGAGTTTGAAGTCTGAAATAGCAGTGTCATGAATGATGTTAATCCAGATTCTTTCTGTTTTCTTTCAATTTTCCAAGTTTCTATTACAAAATGTAACTGCTGAAGGTAGTATACATGGATTTGGAATAATGCTGCTACAATTTTGGACATGCTCGTTCTCAGGATGAGATCTTACTTCTGTTTCTGGATTTGTGGTAATGGGCTCTTGATAAACCTACGGTGTAGGACAATCCCAATAGAAATAAGATAGAAGACACTTATTATGACAGTAGAATTTTTGGTCTCTTTTAAATTAGGATATATATATATATATATATATATATTTTTTTTTTTTCTAGGATTTTAGTTTTGTTCCCTTTTTGTAATATTGTTTAACTTACTTATAGTGTTATGATTAGGAGGTTAGTTTGCCTATGTGAACAAAGGTTTTAAGCACTTTTTCAATCATCAATGTGATGAAGACCACTTGTTGCGCCTCTGAGAAGTTCTCATGACTTTGAGAATTAAAAAGTTGTATGTCAAATGCTGCTTTATAAATATTCATCTATTGTTCTAGGATTTTGTTGTTGGAGCTGATAAAATTCATGTTAATATATCCGAAGTAAAGGCAATTTGAGAATGACCAACATAATGCATGGCACAAGAAGTTCAAAGTTTTCATGACCTAGATACTTTCTAGTGGGCGAAGCACTATTTAGGAGCTTCCAATTTATTGAAGATAAATTATATACTGCATCTTTTTATTTTTAATATTACCAAAATTTGAGAAGGTTTTTGAGGTAGAGTGCAATGCTTTTCTTCAAGGCATCGGGATGATGTTTTTCAAAGAGAAACGACCAGTGGAATATTTTAGTAAAGGCAGGTGAATCTTAACAGAAGTGGACTACTTATGAACTTGAATTTTACATGGTTGTTCGAGCTCTAAAACATTGGGAACATTACTTGGTTCAACGAGTTTTTTGTTTTTTTTTTTTTTTCAAGATTTGAAGTTCATCAGTTCTCAAAGTTAATGAACTATATGCATGTAAGGTGGATTACGTTTCTACAAAAGTCTGCATTTTTATCTAGCATAAGTATCTGTATGATCAAGAGAATAAAGTAGATGATGCATTGAGTAGACGTGCTTCCTTACTTGTCATTAGACGAACAGAAGTTATTGGCTTTCGTACTTAAAGGAGTTGTATGTAGACAATGATGCTTTCTGGATTTTTGGGACAAATATAGTACTATGGGCGCTACTGGTGATTTTTCATGTTCAAGATAGATTTTTGTTCAAAGACAACCAACATTGTATTTCCCATTCTTTGTCATAAGAATATTTAATTCAAGAACTACATTCTGGAGGACTTGATGGCAATGTTGGTCGAGATATAACAATCAGCCTGGTATAGTAACGTCTCTTTTGGCCTTAACTTAAATGGGACGTTGATAGATTTGTTCAATGTTGCCCTATATGTCAATGGGCTAAAGGCCAATAAAAAGTACGGGCCTTTACAACTTACCTATTCTAATTTCTAGATACTATTTAGCAAGAATTGACTATGAAGTTTGTTCTTGGATTCCCTCGGACCCAACGTGGATATATTAGGTTTTTGTTGTATTTGATCAATTCTCCAAGATTGTTGAGTTAACTCTTTGCAAGAAGATATCAAATACCTCTTACGTAACTCATTTATTTTTCAGGTGATTCTTCGTCTTCACGGAATTCCTTGTTCTATTTGTTTAGATAGGGATGTCGAATTCCTAAGTCATTTTTGGAGGACACTTGGAAGAAGCTTGACATTTCTTTAAAATATAGCAACATCATATGGACAAACTGAAATGGCTAATCGTACGCTTGGTAACATGATTTTATGTGTTTGAGGGGATAAAGCCTAAACAATAGGTTACTTTACCCATTAATTGAATTTTCTTTCATACTACATATAACCATTTAACTAAGTGAGCACCCTTCGAGATGGTAGTTCAGCCAAAAAAGTGATGTTAGTTCGACAGCCAAAGAGTTCGCTGAAAATGTGTAACATAGTACACCTAGGAATTTAGAGGCCTCAAATTCCAAGTGCAAGGCTATCACTATTAAACATCCTAGGAAAAAATTGTGCAACAAGTGAAATTTAGACATAGTACACCTGCAAAAGAACATGTTTCCTGTGGTAACATATATCAATCTGAAAGATAAGAAGATTTTGCCATTTCGCATATTGAAGAAAATTGGAGACAATGTGTACAAATTGAGGTTCCCACTGATATTAATATCTCATCCACATTAAGCCTCTGTTTGTTTCCCATTATTTATTCATTAAAATGAAAAATATGACCGTTATCCATCACGTCGAACCACCATATTTGAAAATATATTTCTTGTGTGGAGTCCGTAATGGATATATTTTTTTATTCTCATTCTTGTATTAATGTGGCTCAAACAGGGCCTAAATTTTGTAGACATCTCTGAATATTATCAGCCAAATGACTTTTCTCATCCTTTTTATCGCTTGACAACAAACTTGAGGTTGAGTTTTCTTTGAGTGGGGTAGAATGATGTAGGACAATCCTAACAGAAATAAGATAGAACACACTTATTACAATAGTAGGATTTTTGCTGCTTCTACGTTAGGATTTTGTTTCCTTTTAAGATTTTCGTTTTCTTTTCTTTTGGTAGCATTGTTAATTTCCTTATATCCTTAGGTTTAGGATGTTAATTTACCTATATAAACAAAGGTTTGTACACTTTTTCGATCATCAATTCATTAGAATGAAATTATACTTTCAAACTATCGAGTTTCTCAAATTTTCTTGTTTTAAGAAACATTTCTGCTTCTGCACCAATCAAAGTGAGATTGCTGACTTCATTTGACATGGATCTAGACATATTTGTCCTTCACTTGATTGTTGATTTCATTTAGCGGCTAACCAATATTTCACTTTCCAGGAATGGTTTTGTCAGTTCGTTTTATCATGTTTAAACCATAATGGATCAATTATAGGTCTGCTAGACTTTTATCTTTCTACATTGTGTGCGAATTACACATCTGTAATTTACAAATATGGGTACTGTTACATAATTTGAGATCAGCAACATATTCTAAGCAACGTTTTTTTTATTATATCGTAATATATATTGCAATTCCATCTTTAATTTCTATTTCTAGCTATTGTTTTCACGGGAACTATTGAAGCATGTCCTGTTTAGGGGATCAATATGTTTTTAACTTTTCTTAGTTGACTTCCTTTTAGGGTTAATCTGTGCCGAATGAAGATGGGAACAATTCTCACTGGTGTGGGGGATAAGGTTAGATTCTTTCCTTTCTGTCACACGTGTTTGTTTTTTTTTTTTTTGAAAGTAAATTGCAAGCTCAATTTGTGGTTCTCCTTTCCCTTTGCTAAGAATATTGCATAACTCGTGATTTCTGCTATTTGTCAAGATGGAATAAAAATAAGACTGGATTCCTGGATTATTCCTTTAATTTTCTAAATGGAACTTCTTGAAGGGAATGATTTTTGAAATCTTTTTCTGTTTAACTAAAACTCTTAACTTCAAGTGGCAGGGATAATGGAACTTAACTGTGAGGCAAAATCTTTGGGAAATGTTATTTTGGTTAAAAGATAATAGATGTCTTCAAAATGATTGATGCAGTGAAATGATGGGGTGGTCTTCAGTCCTTTTTCAGCATTGAATTTCTGAACGCTATAGTTTGGACAATCGAATTCCCTTGAAGAATATGTAATATGTTTTTGGGTGAAACTTTTCTTCTGTCACACTGAAATTTCGTCAAAATTACCATAGGAGAGACTGGTTTTCCCAGCATTATCAGCCAGAAGTTGCCGGGAGATGGTTAGGATTCTTATGATCATAAGCCTTTTTAGCTCCTCTGAGGAAACATCAATTTTTACTGTTAGTATCTGGATTACTGATTAAATGGCTCAGTCATGATGAGTACTGAGAATATAGATGGCGAACATGAGATGCGGGGCTATATGTAGCACGGTAGTGGAATTTCTTCTATTCTACCTTTCCAAGTATGTTGCTGCTATTTGATAGCTGTATCATTGTTTTTCCCGTTCCCTCCCTTAGTGCCCTAATTTCTTCATTGATAAAGTACACGAACCAACCCTTTTTTGTTAGGCATATAGGGGAGTGTAATCTAATTAAGCTTTGTAATCCTCTTCATATTTTATACTATTCATTATGCTTCTAGGATAAGAGTTTCTTTTATTTATCAATTTATTTATTCCTATCAGAGTGCTATTTGATATTTAGTTTGAGCTATTTATCGTTTTTACTCAGATTAATACCATATTTTAAGATGATCCAGTTGACATATATTGGTGGCCACAGTGACAAATTTTTTTTTCAGAATTCAGTGATAGCAGCTCAAAATCCACCCCACCCCCCCCCCCCCCCACCCCCCCCCACCTCCTCCTCCAT